TATCAGAACAACAGTAAACAATATACAGAATTACACTCACTATTTATTACATATTTTATTATTCTTTATTCTTGATCATTGTGTGTTCACGATTAATTTGTTTGTCCGTAATATCAAGTGTCAAAACCATTGAATCGTCGTACAAAGTAGAAATCTAATTTTTGTCGAGTTTTTCGCTCAGTCCGCCACTCCCGGGAGAACGCTGTTTTCCCGCCAATTTGTAGTGTTTGTAAGAATTCAACCTCGGACCGTTGTCATGTCGACATCGTGCTTCGCTAATCAACCATTTTTCATACTTAAAACGTTTCTCCTTTTAAATTAGTGGACGTTCATGAATTTAACATCTAATTTAAAAATTTTTGTATATAATTTCTTATGACGATTTTTAAACATCAAGTCAAAATTCGGTTAAAAGACGTTACGTAAAAAGTATGATAGCTTCAAAATCTAAGTGGTAAATAGGTACTTTAGGTTAGATTTAATTTTATTTTTTATCTGTCATTTCTGGCAACATTTTTGTTTGTTGATTGTGGTATAAAATAAAAAAAAACGTTGAAAAGTTATTTCAGTTTATTCTCAGTTCATAGCGTCTTTTTACGTTCTGGCAGGTTGTATTTACATTAATAAAAAATTCACAGCCGAAATTCAGGCAGGTGTCCGAAAAAACGATATTTTTATGAGCAATATCAAAAAGTTTTCTAATAATGTTGCCGTGTTAAGTGTGGCCCGGGCGCTAATTGCAAAATAAATTTTCAAGTTTCGACCAAAAAACCCCCCGTTTCCTTCGCGCAGTGAGTTATGGCCGTGAAAAAACAAGTAGAAGAAATGTGCGGACATCGCTTAAGCGAGCTCTATTCATAGTAACGACCAACGATAACTTTCATATTTTTTTATCTTACTAATATTATGAATGCAAATGTTTAAATGGATATTTGTTTGAAGGTATCTCCGGAACGGCTCAACGGATCGTTATGAAAATTGGCACAGATGTAGAACATAATTTGGAAAAACACATAGGCTACTTATCAAGTATTTTTTTTTAATTCCGCTCGGACGGAGTCGTGGCGAAAGCTAGTTATAAGATAAAATAAATTCAAGAATGTATAACTTTATTTAGGTTTTATGACATGCATCACGTAAATTTTTGATTGGTGACTCATATTTCACGTATTTTATGCTCGAAAATATTATTTATTATACAATTTTGTATATTACGTTATAGGAGTCAAATCTCATGTTATGTTGGACGATTTACTATTTATAATAATTAAGAGTGAACAATGTAAACTGAAAAGGTGTTTGACCTTTTTAATCCTGTGTGTTATTCTTAAAAAAACTTTTATTCGCTTCTAAATATGAAAGAAAAAGTACTTTTAAAGACTTAACAATATCAGTTGAGAAACTCGTTATGCCAGACTATCAAGGCACGGAGACAATCTTTCAAAACCTATTAAATTTAAAAGCTGTTCGGTCATTAGACCACTTTTTTCTAAACGTTCCCGCACAATTTTTCCTCCCTCCTTGGACACTTTTCATAATTACAGCAACCCCCTTTCTCACCCTTTACAACCCGTTTTTGATACTTTTACAAGATGTTAATGTTTAAAAAAAATTATACATTTCTTATTTGAATGTGAATTTACGCGAATTTAATTTTTTATTTTTGGAAAATAAATTTTACTACTGACTTTCATAAGACGCTTAACCTTATATTAGATGAAATTAATCTCAAACATAAGTACTGTTTTTTTATTTTTTCTTAAAGCACATGCGACTACGTCTTAATCTGAATACATGATGTACCAAACGTTCTAATTTTGGTACATCGTTAAATACGTCTTTAAAAAACAATATTCGCAGCAAAGAGACCGACAGACAGAAAGTAAGACAAGACACTTGATTTACTAGCGATGCCCCGAAGGAAAAATATACCGAAAGAATTCCTGATATAGACATACAATAGTGATGTCTCTTGTTACCGTACCAAAACGTTTTTATATATTCATAGTGTACAAGTTAAATTATTCAATTAGTACAGCTAACCAGATGTAGAAAATATTAATATAAAGTTAAAAGATTGTTTGCATTGAAAAGTCTTCGAAACTACGATTCGCAGAATTCTTTGAATGTGTCTGAAAACATCACTATTCACTGACATAGGCTTTATTTATTAGCTTCTTTTTCGCGCGGATGAAGTCGCGGGCAACTGCTATATGTAACAATATAATTCTTGTGTAGTTAGCGCACATAACAAAGAATATTTTTGTTTTCGAATTTACTAAAATCGTTTTTATGTACGAACATTCGTTGAACTCACTAAAAAAGGTTAAAATTTAAAAATCTACCATCCCTACCTGTTGGTACTTTTACGCGGTACGCCTTGTTAGGCGTACCGCGAAATCAAAATAAAAGAGAATGTAAAAAAAAAACTACAACACATGTCCCGGTCGGGCGGCGGACGTCAAAATCGTTTCAATTTCGGAACGAAAAAACAATTGCGATTTGAATTTAAAATTCGAACGGCGGTCATTTTCCCGCGGATTTTTTTTTATTTTGCGGAAAGCGACGCCGGCAATAAATCCCGCGGCAATAACTATAAATTCATTGCGGATCGACATGCAAATGTTGAAGATTTTTTTCGACAAGCCGTATCAAGTACTTTTTGTCGGGACATAAAATCTATAGAGTAGCATATACAATTAAAAAAATTGCGTGACAATTTAACCTTATCATAAGGGCTTAATGTTTCATATTTCCAAGGAAAAATAAGTTCTTTCAAAAAGTATTTTGATCACTTAAATCACCATTAAACAGGCTTCAAATTAAACATTGTTTCATACTTAAAACTGTCACTATAAATTAATTTTGTATAAGACGTCAAACTAACTTAGAGTCTAATCTGTAAAACTAGCCTAATGTAACTGTAATATATAAAAAGAGTAATTCGAAATAATTCAAGAAATAAACTTAGTATAAAACTACTCTACTCATCTTACTTTTCTGTTCCGTCGAAAGATCAAGTGCTACATCGTACGGAGCATAGTTTTTATTTTACCCGAGTGCACTTTTCCGTTTAACGTCCGACGTACGCCGTCCCGTTTATTTTTTTTAACCACCTGTGCTTTCAAAATGCATGCTACATTACAACGAGGTTCTATTAAAACTTTTTGCTAATATACTTTTTGGTATGCGCGACATTGTTTCCACAGAGTTAATTAAATAACTCTGCTGTATTCATTTAGGAATACATGAGAACACAAAAAATGGAACTCTTTTTACCTAACGTATTTTTATCTAGATTTTTTTTTTTAGAAATGTTAGTCATAGCCTTATAGTTATGTTCGGATTAGTATTACAGACTGTTGTTTAAGTTCTATTTATGACTAATACTTGAAAAGAAGTGTTCGAATGCTTGTCATTTATTTTAATAAAAAAGAATCGATAATGCCCATCACTATTATTCATAGTCAAGTGTATTTCCAGTTCGTGTAATTCTTTTATACGAGTAATCTGTGATCGCACCTCCTTGCTTTTATTTTGGCGGTAAAACTTGCATCTGCTTACAAGGTGCCGTATGCGAGCCATGTCCAGGAAGTAACCTGGTCAGGAACATCTGCAGGTTGCATACAACCTTTATTGTTCGATATAATAAATATTTAACACTTAATAGATATCGTGGCCTATATTTAACTTTAAAGTCTTTGCCAGCTCGTTCATTAAATCTTAAGGAAAGATACTATGGGATTGGCAAGTCCGATAAATGCAGAAGTCCAAAAATATATATTGTCATCCCTTTCATTCTCTTTTAAAACGAAGAGAACAATAACTTTTGTTACAACTATATTTCTGGTCCCTCTGGTAAAATGTTTACAAGAAAATTACTTTCCATTTCCTGCTAATCTATATATATATAAAAGAAAGTCGTGTTAGTTACGCTATTTATAACTCAACAACAGCTTTACCGATATGGCTGAAAATTCGTGAAGAGGTAGCTTAGAGCCAGGAGACGGACGTAGGATACTATTTATTCTTTTTTTTCGAATTTATGCCTTGAAGAGCTGCTTTTTATTTAACTTATCTATATATTAAGTTTTTTATATATCCACGCGGACGGAGTCGCGGGCGACAGCTAGTATTTCAATAAAAAGATACTAACTGTTGCCCGTGACTCCGTCCGTGCGGAATTTATAAAAAATCAATAATGGAGATAAAAACTACCCTATCTCCCAAGTCGGACTAAATTACAGATGCTTACAAAATTTGATAAGAATAAGTTCAATAGTTTCGGAGTTTATCGCGAACATACATCGCACGATATATTTATATATACAGTAGATATTTCGCCTACATTGTACGCAATACTATTTACGGTAAGCAAATCAAATGAGTGAAACGTGTTAAAAACTTCCAACACTTCCCACAATGAATATTCAACAAATAGATCGGGACCTAGATACCTACATAAAGTTAACATTACAATATAAAACCCCAACACTCCTTCCCTTACCACCCGTCGATAGAACGATTCGATAAAAATCTTTAACGCGCTAAGAATTCATTACCTTTAATATAATCGGAAGATTTAATTTACGGAACACTTGAATCTAACAATTGTTGTTTAAAAAAATCTTATAAATTAACTTATAATTAGCTATCGGTTAGTAACCAATACCCATTTAGGGATATGTTTTAGCTTGATATATCGATAACAGATTTTAAAATCGTTTTTACAATTCGCTGATCACCTAAATAACCAAAAGTTACAGCTCTGTTTTGTTTCGTATATTTAATATAATATAAAGATTAATCTAAACTCTCGCTAACTTAATTAATAGGATTAAAGCATTTATTCGCGAATCTATTCTCCTGTGACATAACTAAGTTAAGTAGATAAAATGTCTTTGTTTTTAAAATGCTTAGTTCCGTATCGATATATCAGCGTCCACTATCCCTTGACCCTTGGAAGATAACAATACGCATTGAAACAGGTGCCAACTCACTCGCTGCAGCGTCGACCAGCACTCCTCCAGCGTGCGCTCGCTTATGCTCTGCCCCGGTCGCGCTTGTTGCTGTACAAAAAATAGAACAATTAACATTCCAATTATATTTAACCAACTTGCCCCATCTTCCCCCAAACTCGGGTACAACGACCAACTTCCCAGTTTTCACTAAGCTTTTCAGTACAGTCGCAGTCGTTTGCAGTGCCTAAAAGGCGTCTGTTGTTTGTCTTGTACGCCTTGAACGAAAAAGGTTGGTAAATTTTGCAAAACTTGTATATTTTACCATCATATGAGTATATCCCATAGGAATGTAACTTTCTGTAGTAGATTACAGTCTAATTGTTGCAGGAGCAAGAAAATTTTTCTGTAACTGGACCACTGCAAACGAATGCGACTGTACATAATATGAAGAAAAACAATTAAATTGTATTCAATGTTAGTCTGTAATACAAATTAGATTTTAAATTATTATTTTAAGATGTGAAAGTGATGCTTAAAAAGTTAAATATTAGTAATCAAGCTATATATTTAAAATTCTAGTACATATAAGTAAATAATAAAACGAAGAAATTAAGATAAACAAAACAAAAAAGTCATAATTAGTTATTAGAGAAAACATATAAAAGCATAATTGATGAGCATTATAAAGAAGTACAAAAAATGCTAAAAAAAATATATTCTGTCCTACCGTAACTTTCAAGAAATCACTTAAATTCATACTGGTTGCTTATATATCATAATCTTATAGCGTTTAATAGATAAAAATCGAGCAAAACCTATGTTACTAATATTATAAATGCTAATGTATGGATGGATGTTTGTTAGAAGGTATCTCCAGAACGTCTGCAATCTCGCTGAAATTCGGCATAGAAGAGCTTAGTCTGGAAGAACACATAGGCTACTCATTTTTTTAATCTCGCGCGGACTGTGTCGTGGACGACAGCTAGTATATATTATATAAGTCTATAAGGCTCATCATTAAAATAAATAATAGATTATACGGAAACTGATTCGTTAAGACAATAAATTAGATTTGAAATGTAAACAAAATCTAGAATTATATTGTACAAACATTTAAGTACTTACACAATATATGAATTATACATACTTGGTATATCATTTAAAAATATGCATAGTTTAGAAATTCGATATGTAAAGTTCCAATTAAAAGAATTACTAAACATGTTATAAAAAATCACAATACGTCGCGACGCAATTTGAAGAAAAGCGACTACTCTGCCGTTTACCCTGGCGTCTTGTATATACTTTTATTTATTTATTTAACAATACAATTTTGAATACAAATAAACATATATATAACGCTAAATAAACCTCATTGGTTTGATACAAGCGTTAAGGTCTTCCGGACAAAAATGTTTTGAGCTTGCACTTTGTTTTTTCGTGAAATACATTTTATCAAATCTGAGGGTAGTTCGTTCACCAATCTAGGAACGATGTAACTTAGTATCTATACTAATAAATAGCATAATTTAAAAAGTATTTAAGTCGAAATAAAATAGACAAAATTATATAACCAGGTTTTTTTTTAGTAATGAAATTATTGTCAACCAAAATTATTAATAATTCGGTGACTGAGTTTTGAGTTACTACGCAATATTTAAGTCAATAATTACATTTTAACGTTGAATAAGTTTCCGTAATGAAAAATAAGAGAAGGTGAAAGAAAGATTGAAAATAATTACATCAAGATTGAGGCTATTCAGGAAATTTACCAATGCGAAGGGTAGCATACTGCGGTCGGGCATCGGCGCCTCCCCCGTCGGTGACTGCTGTTGTGGCTGTGGGGATATCAATAACATTAACACCAATAAATAAATAAAAAACTAGCAATTACAGGCTTAAGCATACATCCTTGTATCATTCTAGGGAAAAATACGAATGGAATGAACTGTTTTTTCCTACTCTTGAGTCCTTATTTCATATAAATTAAAAAAAAAACTTTATATTAAGCGATATAATGTTGATTATAACAGTAGAATAATAAAGAGACTACTTAAATTATTTACGCAAAAAAACAGTCTCAGCTCTGGACACATTAAAGTCTTTAATGGTAAATAAAAGCACACAACTCTAATGCGATCATGCGTTACTATTACACCATTTTATCAACTGCCGCACTAATTAAAGGCTACCTTAATCCCTTAGTGTAGATTTTCAACCATTAATTAACGTCGTTAATAATAATTCAAAGTCAGCAAGCAACCATCAAGCCATGCACTATATTTTACAACCAGCCAATCATTTTAAATTAAAAAAAAAGCAAAAGTTCCATTTTTAAATTAAAACAAAAGAATGCGATTAAATTGTAAACAAAATACAGAACACGTAAAATACAGAGCACACGTAATAATTTAAAAAAAAATTATTTACATCGATATTATTGAGTGATGACAGTAAATTTACCAGTGCAAATGGCACGAGGGATCTCTCGCTCATTGTTGAGTCAGCGGATGGTGATTGTTGCTGTTCCGGAGCGGGCGTGAAAGAAAAATTTATCATATTAATTTCTCATTACGTATATACATTCTTCGATGATGTCCCATACATTTTTGGATTATAATATAAGTAATAGATTTCAATATACAACATTTAAATATGTACTATGTTTTTTTTTAAATAATTTTTATGTTCAATTTAGTTTATAAATAGTCAAGAAATTTAAAAAAGTTATCTATTTTAACTTAGTCAATTTTTACCTTCTTTCTTTGATTTGTCTGATATGATATCTTTATACCAAACTTGTAATTGATAAGATATAAAAATGTATTATAGAAAAATAATAAATCAATTTTTAATTAACCGTTCTTCATAAAATAATATAACCACAATAGCCCTGCCACTTAAAACCGTCTAACCGTTAAAATTTAATTTATAACGAAATAAAAAAAAGACAAAAACAAACCGATGAATACAAAACAGGATATCAGAACCGGTTTACGGTTTAATAGAATTTTTAAAACAAAAAAAAATTGAATGAGAACAGATTCGCAACAAATAACTGTCAACACCCCTTCCGTGAAACAAAGCGCGGCGAAAATAGAAAAAAAAATTAAATCACAATGAAACCCCTAATCCTTTCCGTGGGAAAAAGACAAATGCAAGGTGAGCCGAGTCCAAAACTAATTTAAAAAGTAATATACTTTTCGTCTTCGGTTCTTTGGTTTGAAATTTTTAAAAAAATGTATAAATTTTGTATTTGAATTTCGAATAAATTTGAATATCGAACACGCTATTTTAGTTTTAATTTTATTTTAAGGAATTATGCGACGGAACTCCGCTTTACGGAAACATTATTGTGCGTAAGTTAACAATTTTATTTTCATAATTTAACGTGGAAATTATTAACTAAATAAGTATTAACTATGTGCAAAAGTCAAATATTATTTTATTTAAGGACATTTCCAAAACTATACATAAAATTTTTTATTTTTACAATCCCTTTTTACTCAAAAAAATCTTGACCTAAGTCTTTTAAGTAAAATAAATCAGTTATTAGTGTTTGAATTCCTTAAATATATTTTAACGTCTAAATTTAAATTTACTAAATTTGATATTGTATTTTATAATTAAAAAAAAAACAATAAAAACGATTAATCTTACTCGTATGACATATAATATGAATCAATGATAGGGTTTCCGTTTCTTACCGCAATCATAAGCCATATGGTCAAAACAAATACGAACGTAATAACAAAAGAAATTGAAAATATCGTCGACAAGTTGATCACAAGCTAATACCGAAATAATAGAATTATCATTGATTATCGTTAATTTACATATCCTTTGTAAAAACCGGATGCGACGTAAGGACAAAAACGATTTAATAATAAGTCGAACGCGAGGCCCTTAACCCTTTCTTCGCTCAACAAAAGGTACACACAATATGTTGTATTGCTTTCTTGTAACTGTTTTTTTTTTTTTAAAGAAGGGATCGTTCCTTATTTGAAACGAGTTTCGTAAGACCTCATAAGGGTCAGTCGATTTACATGATCTGAAGTAGACACACGTCTGATTGATAAATATACGGTCAATCTGAATTTTACTAAAGTGTTATATTATCATTTCACAGTATTTCAATATATTCACTAGCGGTAACATAAACATTTTCACGTTATTATTATAATTTTACGTTGTTAAACTCCCGTGAATTTAATCGCAAGTTTTAAAGTTCCGTCGGAAGATCTTATAGATTCTTTTTAATTACATGAGTCACAAGTAAGCCGGATTTTTTTGTTTATTTTCAAATTAATTCTTTTGAATTTATCACAGTAAACTAAACATCACCTAAACAATAATTAGTTATGGGACATCTCAAAAATTTATAAGTAATTTAAAGTACTCACCTGTATGTCGGTAACCAGCTTGTCAGGCATGATTTTGTGGTCTGGTGTGGCGGGTGGCTGCGGCGTAGGCGGCGCTGGCCCCGGCTGTGCCAGCTCGAGTGGTTCATGAGTCGCTGGCGGTTCGTGAGGGCTGGCCGGCCGGCTGCGCGCCCAAAAGTCCTGCAGCTTGAACTGGCGCTGGTCGGGCTGCAGCGCAGGGATGTGTAGCGAGAGCGGCGCCGCGCGAAGGTCCAAGGCGCTGCCCGCCGCTGCAGCCTCGCCGCCCTCCGCTGCAGTCATCTTGAAAGAATTCTGCAGCCAGCTCGTCACAAAGTTATCCTCTTCCTTGGGCGCCTCCAGGAGTCTAGGGTACGGCGGCGCGGCGCCCGCCTCGTAAGCGCCCTCGCCGCCGACCGCTTCGCCCTCCTCCGCTATTTTCGGTACTTTCGCCTCCCTCGGTGAGCCCTCCTCTACCGGTTCCGTCTTCCGGTAATCATGGAGGTCCCTGTACCTCTCCTGGAGCGCTAGGGATATGTTCTCATTGAAGTATTTCAACATTAATTCCAGTTTGGGGCGCACGGTCACGAGGAACACATGCGACGTCCCGCGCCTTAGGCTGGAGCCGCGCTGGACCTGCAACGAGGACGGTCTTTAGCGCGCGGCGGCTTTCAGTTTATTTACGCGGGCGGAATGGGAAAGCGAAAAGCGGGACCACCTTGAGACGCGGGCGGGCGACGACTAACTTCTTGGTGGAAAACTTGCGCGTCGCGACGCTTTCTTGCGGGGTGGGGCGGACGCGCGCGCCACGCGAAGACGCCGCTCCAACTAGCAAGACGCGGCGCCGCCCCCGCCGCCTTAGACGTCGTCAAGAACATCCCCACCGGCGGCGGCGCCGGGCGCGTGCGCCCCGCGTTTTTTCCGCGGAAAAATGCGAGCGGTCAAGGAAAAGCCGCGGCGACGAGCGCGCGACGGTCAGCGCCGTGCGCCTCGCGCCTTGCCCACAGCCGCCTTACGAAACGCTCGGCCCGCTCGGACCGTTCGGACCGAGGACCTAATAACAACTATTAAAAAGGGCGCGAAGGGTCGCCCCTCTCGCTCCGCCGCGCCCGCTCGCATCCCACCCCTATGCGTTAGAAAAGGACGAGTAGACCGACCGATTTTTTTCTAAGCCCCTATTAGTGAGGGAGGAAATGAAAAAGAATTGCCTTTCTTTACAATTTTTTTCTTAATGTCAACGCTCTCGCTCGCACTCGGGGAGTTTGTATAAAGCCCTTTCATGTTGAGTTTTTAAATACTTCCGTAACGCCTCTTTACTATTGAATTTTTTTCTTGTTCAGGCGGAGCTTAGCTCATGGGGTTTAGCCAACGGACGATTCGGCCTCGATTTTTTCTCATTTTTACCTAAACTCGGAATAATATAAACACCGGATATTCGTAGGTTGTTCCTACGTAATGTATGAGTTCTTTATTATTTAGAAAACATAAAAAATCATATTAACTGAAAATTCCTATTCAAATAAGCATATGAAAATTTATTTCTAAGATGATTAGCTAATTAATTTAGCATTATTTTTTATTCTCATATCTAACGCCTTAGTTTCATTTTGTCGCCGTCTTACGCCCTCATTAAGTGATTCATCCCTCTCGCTACCCCACGACAGATGGCGTAGCTTGCTACGAAGTCTACGGCTTTCTGTGACCTTTTAACGTCTACGCAAAATATTTTAACAAAAAAAAATAATACCTCAAGAGAAAATATTTTTATAAACATATAAAAACAAATGAATTTTTATATATATTCTATCAGTGAATAAATTCTATTCAAATGTTTTATTAAATTTGTTATAGACTGCATATACTTGTCATGGAAAAATGATTACGTTCCGCATGCATTGCCATATATAATTAGGTCTGAAATTGCATGTACCGACATGCCCAAGACATTATCTAAAATCGCGACTTAAAGACAATTGCCAGGTATAATAATGAACAGGCGTGGTCTAACAACGTAGGAGTGGACTAGGAAGACTTTTTATACGGTCTGTGAATATGCGAGTACTTTAAGTCAATAGGCGGCGCTCTTAACGACTCGAGAATGTAGAAAAAAGGTTGCATACAGACAAATGATTAAGAATTAAGGTAATTTCCCTAGACACAAATTTGCTTCTATAATAAGATAATGCTTTACTCTTACATCGAATAAGATTTTCACAAAACCAAATAATTCTAAACAATTTTAAAATAAAAAAGTCTTTAAGGTTTTTTATTTTTTCTTGATTTATTTGTTTCCTAATTTTCTTATAATTAAATTAGATTTTTAGCTCATTTTGATATTTATATTCTAGTCCAAATGACTTCAAGAGTTCTTAAGTTGCGGTCAAACGATGAAACTGAATTTTCTTTGCTAATTTGGAAACTAGATGTCACGAGGAGCACTTTTCTGAGGCATTTTCTTATAAATTTCGTCATAAAACAGTAACAAATCGAGTATAATTAAACTTTTAAATATGTTTGAATTCGATTTTTAAAAATAAATAAAAAAATAGTAATAGCTGAATACATTAGAAAAAGAAATCAAACTTTTTACATCGCTGCTTGACTTTAGTTTTATAAGCCTTATTGGTATAATTTGGATGTTCTATAATTTAAGATTATATCTAGAAGTTTAAAAGACCTTCTGAATGCTAATGGAGTTTACTGTTATGCTTAAAGTTGGTTATCTCACTTCTTACTAATATTATAAATGGGGAAATTTAGTTGGATGGCTGTTTGTTTGAAGGTATGTCCGGAATTGCCGGAATTTTCATGAATTTTTACACACATGTAGAACATACTCCGAAAGAACTCATAGGCTTATTAAGTTTTTTTTTTTTTTAATTTTAGTTTTGTTTTAATATTGTATATAGCCCAAGCGATGATCTAAATTAATACTAACTCTGAATAATAGTGAATTAGATAAAAAATGAAGAGACAAACAGACATGCCAGATATAATAATATCCGTTGTGAACAATGCGGTGAACGCCCGATGACCCCAAGCTTTAGGGGCACCTTTGTAATATGCGTTAAATTCAACTCCCTATCAATTACAAAGATGTTCCGGATGTGTAAGCAACCGAATAACCTTTACTTTTATAAAAAATATTAATATTAAAAATAGGAATTATTTTTGTATTAAATAAAATTTAAGTTAATACTTACAAAGAAATTGTAAGAAACAAAATGGATTAAAAAAAATTTCAAAAAAATTAAAGTGTCTCTGGCATACAGTAGTCGTTGCCAGAGACTCCGTCCGCGTGGAATTTAAAAAAAAAAACTGTGACTATGTGTTCTTCCAGATTATGTTCTACATCTACAAAATCAAATTTCAAAGAACTTAAGAATTAAAACATGAAGATAGAACACGCTTCGTAACAAAATTTGTAAAATCAGAAAATTAATCTAATAAAATAGTAATGGCATGAAACAAAAATTATAAAAACACATTTATTGTTTAAAAAAAAAACAATATTTGTAAAAAAAAACCTAACCTATCCTACCTGTAAGCCATATAATTTACAGATATTTTAAAAATAAATAATGAAATGATGTTCATTAAACATTATAGGTGTGGATGAAGCTCAAACGGATATTATACGCAACAATGGCCGGCCGGCAGCTGTCGTCTCGGACGTTCCGACGCCATATTTCATTTTAATTTTTTTTTATAGCAACAATATAATAATGTTACATCGGCCAAAGGCGTTCTCCATTGTGGAGAACTATTAGAGCGTATACGCATGATTCTAAAGCTATTTTATATTGAAGATAATGTTATAAATAGAAAATAAATTATATCTATGTATAATAATTCATAGTAATACTATAGCTGGCAACGCGACTCCGTTCGCACGGAATTAAAAAAAAGGTAATTAGTAGCCTATGTGTTCTTCAAGACTATATTTTTTATTTATGCCAAATTTCATCGAGATCCATGCTGATGTTCTGGAGATACATTCTTAAATACATCCATCCAGATATTCGCATTTATAATATTAAGACTAGACGTCGGCGGCAATTTCGTTCGCGCAGAATTAAAAATATAATTAGTAGCCTATGTGTTATTCCAGGGTATGTGCCACATTTATGTCAAATTTCATCGAGATACATGCTGATGTTCTGCATATACATTGTAACAAACATCCATCCATCCATCTATCTATCTTAGCGTAAAATTATGTTACTAATATTATAAATGCGAATGTTTGGATGGTTTGTTATAAAATGTTTCTAAAATGGCTAAATGGATCTCGTTGAAATTCGGTACCGATGTACAACATACAGAAGACATAGTCCTATTTGCTTTGCGTAGGATAATCGTTCTCTTTATTTGCTAATACATTTTAAAATTGACGTGTTATAGATATATTCAGTTATAGATTGATGAAATAAAATAAAATTTTATCAACATATCAAATCGTAATCCATGAAACGAATACAATGGAACCGGATGAAACTGGATGTAACTGGATGTAACAAAATACTTGAGAGATAAAAAAAAGTATATCAAAGAATTCGTTCCGCTTTGAGTATAGCAAAAACTAAACAAAAGGATCATTTGACCCTTTACAATATGCAAATGTTGAACACCTAGTGGATCACAAGGGTACTAATAACACGGTGATTTTTTAAACTTTTTATAGAACAGGACCGGTTTTAATAGTTTTTTTTTAATTATTGTTCTACAATACATTGTTGTCTATGGGAATTTTCAACAGTAAAGAATTACTTTGGTTATGATAAAATATTTAATATACAAGCGCTTTGATTTTAGTAAGAAGTCTGAAGAAACTCTGAATGTAATTAGGTTGAAGGAATTATTGATAACGCTTTAAGAAATCTTTGCACTGTAGATAATAATATTATTATAAGATGTTAACGAATTATTTCATGTTTCACAAACTAAGCTCTTGAATTTTATATATATATATATGTAAAGAATGACGTGTTAGTTACACCATTTATAACTCAAGAACGGCTTTACCGATATGGTTGAAAATTTGTGAAGAGGTTAACTTAGAGTCAGGAGACGGACGAAGGATTCTATTTATTCTTTTTTATTTCGAGTTTATACCGTAAAGAGCTTTATTTAACTTACTAATATTATAAATGCGAATGTTTAGATGGATGTGATGTGGATGGATGGATGGGTGTTTGAAGATATCTCTAGAACGGCTGAACGGATCTCGATTAAATTTGGCATACGTATAGAACATAGTCTGGAAGAACACATAGGCTACACTAATTAAGTTTTTCTATATATCGACGCGGACGGAGTCGCGGGCGACAGCTAGTTTATAATAAAACTGACTCTAGCCAGTGATTTTGTTCGCATTAAAATCAATCAATCAAAGCATTTAATAATATAAAGAGGATATTTGTATAATACAATTGTATGTAACGAAGAAACTCAAACAAGACTGGACCGATTTCTAAAATATTTTTTTCCATTAGAGAGCTACATTTTCAGTGAGTTACATAGGCTTTATTTATAGCAAGCTTTTTTAATTTCATGCAGACAATGTCGCGTGCAAAAGCTAGTAATAAATAAAAATAATAAACACGTAATGAATAGTACGACTTAAAATAGACATAGAATTACGAACCGCGTTATTATTGAAATGACAGTGTATTAAATATTCAATATGTAATTTATTAACTTAAGACAATTTATATCGCCCTATCAAACCAACCTTCTATAGAAAATAGATTTATTTTTAATTTCAAATGTTGCCATGTTAACAATTATTATTAGATTTTTTTCTACAATGTCTTGATATACCCATTCGGATATCCTAATATATATATATATATATATCTCTTTCGGTTGTATATCTATACACATTTGATATTATTATTTACTTGCTGTCGCCCGCGACTCCATCCGTCGTCATCGTCATCGTCAATTTTAAAAAAAAAACATAATTAGTAGCCTATTTGTTCTTCCCCGGCTCTCTTCTATATGTATGTCAAATTTCATCAAGATCCATCCATCTAAACTTTCGCATTTATAATATTAGTAAGATTAAATTAAACCATAGAGGTTTTTTATATTTTACACATTTGATAGCAAATTCGTTGCAAAAATTCTAGGTTTAAAGATTGAAAAAAATAATATCGTATTGTTTATGGCAACATCGAAGTAAAGAGAAAGAAACATGTTTATCGATGAAAAAATTGTAAAAGAGGGTTGTAATGACCGCGCGTTCACGAACCGCGACCTATTTTTAATGATTTTTGGAAGAATCGTTAAAGGGTTCGGATAACTTAAGCGGAATTGGCTTTTTTACATATCTTTTTAATAACAGAATATAGCTCTTTAGATTCTTTTTTTTATTAATTAGTTCGAGTAAAAATTATTATAAAAACATAATTATCGTAGTAATTCTTTAACTAACATAACGGCATTAGGCAATTGTTTTGCAAAGACAAGCAATTGTATTTAATAGTAGCTTTGTTACTATCTCACTACGTTCAGACCTTTTTTCTCTTTCTTGCAAAGAAATACGGTTAAAGGTGACGTGACCTTGAAATTTCATAACCAATCCTTTATTCTATTTAAATATGTTTTCTACCAAAAATTGACTAATTTTTGGATTGAATAATTAGTCAGTGCTATAGCTTACTCCATAGTTATTTAGCTAGTTAACGTGAAACATTATTGATGGTACTATTCCGTGACAAGTGAACTATACGAGGCCGCGAACAGATCGTGCTTGTCCGTCTGTTGCGTTTGTGTGATCGATATCAACTGCCTTCGTGTAATAAGGCATACCAGCTCTTAACTTACTATGACTAGATGCACGTAATATATTACTTTAAAAAAAATATTTTAAAACAGCCAGTGGCGTTCGTCCCTCATGAGAAGAAGGGGTCAAACAAGCAGCAGAATAAGAGAACACCGAGGTGTTAAACCACGCCTATGGAATGCAATGTAAGAAATAACATCTTACTAAGGAGACAGAAGTCCACTCCTTGTTTAAGTTGTAGTGAGGAAAATTATACACAAAATTTGTTTCTAGAGAGGAAATTTTCACCTATTTAGGTGTAAAAGAAGATCTTAAACCCTGTCAGGTTATCTACAGGGTATAGCATTTACAGGGGGTTATTTAAAAATGCGCACACAAAATTTTTAATTTTTTTTTGTAATTTTTTTTTTACTTTTTATCCAATGAATATACTTCCTCCAGATAAAATAGATTGTTGTAAACGTATTTAAATAAAAAAAAATTGTAAAACCACATTTCATATTAAATGACAAAAACAACTGTTAATAAATTTCACGCAAATCGCCCGTTTAACGGTAGCTGAATATCAATTCTCACAAAACATTTACCCCGGTAAAAGAAAACGAACAAAAAAATCTAACAAAAAATACCCCTCACCAAACATCGCGTGTCAAAATCCAACGATGTTTAAATGGTAAAAAATACATATTAAACACCAGCACATTGGGCAAACATTTCAACAAACATTTTAGTTTCCGAGCTTACATAATATTCTTAAGAAAAAGAAAGAAAAGTTGTCTAATAAGGCCGACCAGCCTTCCCTTTTCAAACATAATTTTAAGTTCATAGATTTAATATTTTTTAAAGTTACTTAATAAAATTATTACTACATTGTAAAAAAAAATTACACACTTTCCCCTTTTCTTAGTCGTATTGTCATTTCTATATCTAGATAGTTATTATACCTTCTTATAAAATTATCTGTAATTCTTCGCTATGAAATATATCAGTTGGCCCATGTTGGCCCAACTTGGCCCAACTTTCTAAGCAATACATTTGTTTACACGCGTTTAAAAAAGGATTGACACATAAAAAACCGCCCCTTCCGTTAGACTGAACCAATAAAAAAAGAAAAAAAACTTGCCCGTTTGAAAAAAGAACGAGTTAATTGGTGGTGCGCGTGCCGCCCTACTTTTTTTCAAGCTTTTTGTGACACCGACTTCTCATTGAGGGCTGGGTTTTTTTTATAGCGTGGGGTGAATTTTTTGCTCCAATTATGACGGCGATGGTGCGTACTACCGACAAATTATTTATGATTAAATAGTTTTAAACTCTTAACACTGAATAATTTTGTAGTCAGGATTTTTTTTTCTTAATTCCGTTTCACTACGAGTCGCACATCGTTTTTTTAATACTTAAATTTATGCCAATTTTTAGTAACGTATTTAATTTTTTTTTTATTTCAACCAAAAATTAACTGACAAAAAATAATATTAAATTTTCCTATCAACTTAACCCTTATGTTCTAATTAAAATAAATTTAAACTTAGTTTTATTAAACTTATTTTTGCTTTTGCGTATTTTTTGCTTTACTTCAAAAAATAAGTCTTGCCACAATAAGGGTTAAAAACGCATCGATATTTATACATATAATCTACAACACTTTAAAAGCACAATTAAATTAAAAAATCTATATATTTCATGCACTAAGGAAACAATAAATACTTTATAGTAATAACTTACCCAGTAATTACTAATCGTAGTTGCAATATAAACAAAGCAGATTTACATTGTCAGGAGAAATTAATTTATGGTAAACAAAAAGCGACATCTGTCGTATATGCGATAAACAACAAATATTTTTCTTATAAGATAATATTTCTAATTAAAAAAATAACTCAATTAAAAAAAATCTAATGAAAATTTTATAAACACGACGAGATTTTTTTTTTCAAATTAAAAAACTCACAATTACACATAAAAAAATCTTCAAAATATCTTTATTAATAAGTTTTCTTTAAAATCTATTCTCCTATAAGATTTCTTATACCATCCTTTCTTTACAAAGTTGTGAAAATATTAAAATTTGCAATAAAAAAATTATTACGTAACATAGTGGAAAATTTTTACCTTATTCAAGCGAATAACAACCGCCCCGCACAGAGACAAGTTATAAAATTTCCGTTTAAAACACATCGCTCATTATCTTTTTTCTAACGAAAAAATACATTTTTGTGCGCACATTTAAAGCCTTAGTCACTTACATATATTAAAGCACAACAAACTTTATTTATAACAAAATAAAATACAAATTAAAATGCAATTATTTCCTTTTTACGACTATTTGGATTGACCAAAGAGTTCCTTGGTCTACTTTAATAGTTACTAGGGATGTACCTTTTCGGCTAAATAAATGTCAAACCAAGAGGCTAGGCTAGACATTTCAAAATGTTGAATGAATTAAAAATATTCACATAATAGCGAACAATCGACAAGTCAAAAACCAAAAAAAAATGTTTATACCCTAACTGTATACTAATCTACCTATTAGTGGTTTAAATTACTCTGTCTCTGTCTCATTGTTTGTTTTTAATATGCGTTTATTCATATAAATTACTAGAACCTATTCTGATTCAAATATATAAAAATATAACATAACCGATATGAGATGTATAATAGAATTAGAAATTCTAATAAGAAAGTTAAAAATCAAACTTTAAATTCTTCAATATGTTTTTTGAATTAATAAAAAAACTTATTTGATTTGAAAATATTAACAAAAGAATTAACGTGATTAGAAGTAAATTGTATTACGGTAAATGTAAAAACAAGCTGCTTAAGTGTTTAAATTAATTTATAAACTAGCAACCGAGAAAAATGAAAATATTTTTTTTTAATTTATGTCTCGTTATTATATTCGAAACTGTACTAATATAACTAAAAAGCTTAAATATTATAAATTAAATTAAGACGATAACAAAATCTATGTGAAAACGAATTTAAAATGTGGAGAAGGCATTAAGGTATTGTGAATCAAAGAAAAGAAACCAATTTCTTTAAAATAAGTAATTTTAATATAGGTAATGATCATAATAGTAAGTACAGTTTTATCTAAGTGTTATTTTTGTCGTGTATTGTTTAAAAGTAGCATTAAAAAATCATTAGAGAATTAAAGACTGAAAATCTATGTTGCGGTCATAAGCTGAAGAAGAGAATTAAAAAACAACAGAGCTCGTATCCATAGGCTACTATTAGGAATAGGAAATTTGGAAATGTAATTATCTTCCAGATTTCGTCCAAATCCATTCAACAGTTCGTTAAATAGTATTACTTTGTAATAAATATCAATACATCCAAATTTTCGCATTAATAGGCGAATCTTAAGAAAAAAATGTCTCGTTTAATATATATGCATATATAAGACATAATTTAATATTTAATTCGCATTGTAATTTGTTTTCTCGGTTTAGACGTGTTCTTAACCGATAAATCGTCACACAAGCCGAACGTAGTCACATCACTAGCTGTGCTTGTGCGCGTCTTATCAGCTGCACTGTGTACGTTGATAAAATTTTGAAAAATTCTCAACTTTTCCGCGATAACCCCGCCTTCTCGGTAAGGAAAAAAAGCTTGAATGCCGTATTCATAGACCAATACTACTTTTTAATTATTTAAAAAAGCTTTTATTTTAAATACGCGAATAAGTGTTTATAATGTTCAGGAAGTCACTTAGCGAAGATTTCTTACTTGAGTAACGTGTAGTAATCATTTAACCGGACGTATACTCGTTTTTATAAGGGATTTTGCAGTGTAGTGATGAAAGAAAGCTTCTTATCCTCATACAATAGTATGAGAAACATTCATGAAGTCATTAAGTTTCAACTACCCTGACATTCCTTGAAATATGTTAACAATTGAGTTATTGTAAACATTTATTAACTATTCGCTTACCGGATTAGCCTCTGAAAACGTATATTAGTCATTGCGAAGACAAGAGAAAATGTCAACATTAATACGGATGTTTTGTGCTTGATATTTTGAAAATATCTACTGTTACGTAAATTCGTTTTCATCTTGTATAGTGTTTACATTTATTGGCTAGTTAGTTATCCTAAATAGTCTAGTAACTACTTGTAACTATTGCATCTGAAAATTAAAAGTTCTAAAATCTAGGTAATAAATAAAATATTAACTTGAAAAATATTTCTGCTTGTTTTATAGTTTCAGATATGAGTTTGTACTTTCATACTTTACTTTGTTATTTTAGACATTATTAATTAGAATCCTTTGGCGCCAATGACGTGCTTTCGTTACAAAGTCCAGTGTCAGAATGAATAATGAGGGGACACAAACGTCCACATTTTAGTAAGGCTAGTGTTGGGTCAATACACTGCCACATTTTCGAATTTTCTTCCTAACAGTTAACATGTTTTACTAGAATCTTATAAGAATGTAGATATAAGTTGCACTGTTAAGTATTACAAGATATGCATAAGTTCTTTTTATTAAATAGTAATTGTGCGCTTACTACTCCACCGCAACAACAAGGAACTCTTCTTTATTTGGATAGTCAAAGAAATCATACGAACGTGAAAATATACAAAAATGTTTTTAATTAGTATTCTACAAGATTTCTACGACACAGAATGTACTAAGTATGTTTTACTTAGTTATTTTTTTATTGTTACTTAATAATTATTGACTGAATAAAAACAATCGTTTGTTACTTGACTATAAATACGGCGCATCTTATAAATAAACTTCATGACCGACAAGTATTTATTATTTGCAGTTGCGTTATCATTGCCTCTCCACTTAGTATGAGTTTTGTACGTGTATTAATAATAGCGTTTTCTTTGTGAGGGTCTAGATAAAGTGCATCGGCTAGACAACGTACCACTGTGTATAATCTGTGCTATAAAGCTGCTGATTGCAATAGAGGTACGTGTTACAATATACTATTTGCTTGAAGTGTATACTAAAATTAGTCGTGTTATCAAATTGCAATAATAGTGTGTAAAATATAATTTTAATTCATATATTATTATTTCTAATTTCAGAATTTAATATGAACGATGTTAGAATGTAAAATTATATTTAACGTAATTGATAAAAATTAATGGTTTTGTTTTTGACTAGTCAGTAGACATCAGTTCTTTTACTGGGTAAGTTTTGTACTTCTTTAGTTGAATTAAAAAAAGTATTTGCTTGATAATTATTCACATTTAATTTAGGTATTTTGATTGCTTTATTTTGACATTTTTCAGATTCTAACAACCACCATCTTATAATGAAAATATTGTCTACAGAAAAATGTAAGAAAATATACAAACTAAATTTTACCATATAAAAATGGAAACGACTGAATTCTTAGAGGAATAAATAACATGAGGTAATCATCATCAGCTCACTATACGTCACCACTGAAGGGCTCTGAGCCTACCCTAAGTTGAGGTGAATAGACCATATTCAACCACGCTGGCCGAGTGCAGGTTGACTTCACATCTTTGAATTTCTTCTCAGATATGTGCAGGTTGCATCACGATGTTTTCCTTCACCGTAATGAGGTAATCATCTTATTGATGTTATAAATGCGAACGTATAGATGAATGGATGAATAAATTGTTAGAAGGTGTCTCTAGAACGGCTCAATGGATCTAGCTGGAATTTGGGATACATGTAGAACATAGTCTGGAAGAACATAGGCTACAATTTTTTTTTAATTCCGCGCTTACGGAGTCGCGGGTGATAGCTTTTTGCACATAATTGCATGTTTTATCAGATAATATTACACTATTTTCGTAACTATTCTATTGTGTGAGTGAGCGACGGGCCGCATCCGCGAAATAATACCAGTACCACCCATCCTGAAGAAGGGCCCACGATGGGCTCGAAATTAGTCGGTGCAGCCACCGGACGAATATACATGAGTGTTTAGCCGTGTTTAGATATCAGTTTAGTATAATGTCTCACGAAAGTTTGAATAATTTAATATTCGATTGTGGTTATATTTTTCTTTTATAGTATAATAATTTTAACAATTTAATATGGCCAGTATCCTAAGCTACATCGATTAATTAACGTCGGACAATATATCGATTATAAATCGATCAATTACATTGTAATTAGCTACGGTAATTTAAAATGTTTACCGTTATGTTACATTTTATCGATACCTGAACCTGGATAGACCAATTACTGCTGGAGGTCGCTTGTGGACTAACGGAGCGCATGCGCAGATATATCTTTTTACAACATTCTCTGATTAGAAAATTCCTTTATTAATTGACTGTTTTAATTAAAAGGATTTCATCTAATGATAATAGGTAAGATTTGTCTGTTTTATTTTTTAATTTAATTGTTGTGGAAGTAATAAAAGATTAACTAGTTTTTTTTTGTCGTCGAAAAGTGAAACCTTTCGTTTTTTTGTTACAAAGTATCTGCAGAAAGGCTGCATTTATATCGATGAAATTTGACATAGATGTAGAATATAGTCAGGAAGGGAACATAGTCTACTAATTAAGTGTTTTATTAAATTCTACGAGACGGAGTCGCGGGCTACAGCTAGGTGTGCGCGTTTTAAGAGAGTAAGATATTAAGAGTATAACCACACTGTAGTTGTGTAAATGTTGTTGAAACAATAGTGGTATGTCGCATGAAGTTTGTGATCTCTGCTTACACTGTTCCCTAAAGGCTTACTAGTAAATTAGGTATTGGGTGAAATAAGTTTACTTTCATATAAAAATAAAAATTTTGAATATATAGAATTGGAAGTTTATTTGATTTTAATTTTTTAACTAAAAAGTTATAATAGAATTACAATGTGTCTATGTATTAAATCACGAGCAAGACACAAAGATGGCCATAAAGTCAGCCGGTGCATTAGAAAATCAGTGTAGGGATCGCGGAGAGAAAAATAAATCAGCACCTACGCACGCGACCTAGCCCAACGGACACACAAGAAGGCAAAACAACAAAAAGTTACCAAGTAAAAAGTCCGCTACGTACAGGGTTGTCGAATGCAAGGATTTACCTGTAGTATATCCAAAAAATTACCATAAAAAATGTAAGATATAGATGTCACAAATAAGTAAAAAAATATACGATAATCCTCGTTAACTCTCTCCTTTTTTAAGAAGGATAGGAATATAGGAGTGACAACTCTTCATTTTGTTTCAAAGAAT